TATTAAGAGCCTGAAAATTGTTTAGGTTTACTTAGGGAATACATGGGACAAAGACCTAATTTCTCGGTTACAATGTCGGATACTAAACTAGTTTAGAGAATGGCAAACTTATCTCCACGATCATTGCCGTCTTTTGATTTCTTTATCCTTCAAAAGAATTTCTCTACATTATAATATTCCATAAATAATTCCACGTTCTCCCAATTCAAAAGTACAAGTTTTTTATTTTTTTGTTTTTTAAGTTTTCACTGTCACTCTCATTTACCAAACTCTAAATTGGAAATTGACATTCATGAATCAGTTGAAGTCAACCAAATGACTAGGACAAGACATTCATAACTTGTTTGGGTATGATTTTTTCAAAAATCATTTCTTTGAAATACAATTTCAATAGCATGTTTTTGAAAATTATTTTTCGGTGATTCAATAACTTAACTACAAGAATTTTATGTTTTTCATACAGAATTTATTCATAGGAAAATATTTTTAATTGTGGGAAATAAACCTATGCAGAAGAAATAAATTTGAAGGTAAATTTATGTGGCAAACATCAAGGGGATAGGTAAAAGACTTTAAACTTTTGAAATTTATGGACTAAAGTTTTTCCCTACGAATCCTTTATAGATGAATACAATACGCCACGTAAATTTTCCTCCGGCATAATCATTCATTTGCTAAAGTTACTTTTGGCCCACTATACGATTTCACTTTTTCCTACAAATTATTTTGTGGGCCAATCGTGATTTTTCTCAAAATAAACTTTTGTATGAAAAGAATATTTGTGGCTAAGATGTACATATTTCTTCGAACTAAAAAAATTTGTAGCAAAGATTGTTTTCTTAGTTGTTCCTGATTTTCTCTACAAATAAATTTTTTATGGGGAAAGAATATTTATAAGTTATTAATTGTCTCAACAATGAAAGAATTCCTAGGAGGAAAATTAAATAAATTTTATATATTTTATTTGTTATTTATATTGTATTAATTTTTTAAACCTTATTCAAAATAATATAAAGATGCAAAAAGTCGATAAATTAATTAAGATATTTAGTGTCAATCAATGCGATATTGGATCCATCATAACACGTTAGCTAAAGTTATTTTTGGTCCCCATCTTTTCAAAAACTCATTTTTCTAAAACTCTTTTTCAACCACATTATTCCACAAAATAATTTTACACATAAATCAAAAAATTTTATTTCTTTTTTAATCGTACATTCTTTAAAAAATCAATATTCCACAATATATTTTCTTAGAAAAATGGGGTTCAAACAAGGGCTAAAAACTATTCACTAAGTATAGTTATATCTAAACTTAAAAATAGTATAGCAAACATGCTCTGAATCTATTATTATATATCTAAAAAAAAAAAATCATCATCTTATTAGTTAGATATGCAACCAATCCTCTCCAATGTTGTTCTCTTCATCCTCAATATCATTATTTTCCTCATTACAATTATTCTCCATTGAAAATGGTATTATAACTAAGTCAAGAACTTTACCACATAGCTAGTAAAATTAATGATACCAAGGCTGCAATGTAAACTTAAATGGTTGCATCTAAATTTTTAGGACCAAAAAAAGAATCATTTCCCCAGGAAAAATCTTTCCCAAATAGACGTTTAACATTTTTTTTTATCAGTTTTAACATGATTACCAAGTCTAAAAGCATCTCCAGTGCAATTTATGAACGACATTGAAGTTGAAAAACTTATTTCCTACAAGCCATTGACATTAATAAATAAATAATTAAGTCAAAACTAATCTCTAATGAAGCCTATCTATAAGCACAATATTGCTGCATAGGTCTCTTTTATTTTCTTAAAATAAAAACTTAAAGCAATGCTGGAGATGCTTGAAAGTGATTTAAACCAATGTCAAAAGAAAAAAAGTTTTTAGTCATAATTATTGAATGTATTTTGGTCCATTCGTGAGTTACACCTGGCTTTTGGCCCCACAGAGGACACGTTTGGGTTGGTAGCAAAGTATTAAGACCAAACCATTTAATTATAATTTGGTATATTGCAAATTAATTAATAAGTTAATCCCTACTATCATATGATTAATATCCTTACTACATTGGGTATAAATATGCAACTGAATTCTTTGCAATTTCAAAAGTGTACTAGCTTCATCGTTTCCAGTATAACAAGAAAGAGTTCCTTATCAATCTTATTTTCCTTCAGAGAAATTCCAAAAAAAAAAAAAAAGGAGAGAAAATGGAGCCTATTGGAGCCTTTTTTGATGAAGAATGGGAATCATTGAGCAAAATGTTTTCTATTGAAGATTCTGATTTCATGTGGCATTTCCATGGCAGTGAGTCGTTTTGGAATCAAGTCGAAAATGGTTTGAGCTCCCAAATTCCGTCAAATTTCTTGGATATTACAGAAGTAGATGTGGCTGCCGGAGTCGATGAAACTGTATTGTTTTCCACTGATCATGCTCTTGACACGACTAACTTTTATTATGTTTCTCAAGAAAGTAGCAATAACAGTACTGAAAATGACAGTGTCTTTTTTACCAATCCAGAAAGTGTTGTTAATTTTCCTGATCAGTCCACTCAATTTTGTATTGTGGACCAAAAAAATGATCATAACTTTCCAGCCAGTTTTCCTACTGATCATGCGATGGAAGACATTTTGTTTATTAAAGAAGAGATGGGCAGTGGCCAACTGGAGAAGCTAAAAAGTCCTACTGCAGAAATTGGAGATTCCGTCAAGGAAATGCAGTTCAAGAGGAAGTCCGAGACACCAGAAGAAAAACTGGAGGAAAATTCTCCGAGGAAGAAATCTAGAGTTCCTAGAGATGTGAGTAAAAATGAATTTGACTCACTTTATCTTATCTATTGATGCTTGTTCATAATTTCTTGTTGACTAAATTAATAAATGCAGGCGTCAAGAAATGAACCACGGATTAATGGCCAGAAGAAGAAGAACAAGAATGTTAATAAAAATTGCAATGATGAACTAGAAGTGACTGATGGTGGAGAAAATGGAAGGAGTACTAGTAGTTGCAGCCCTGAGGATGATTGTAATGGTTCTCAAGAATTAAATGGAGTGGAAAATTCAGAATCCAAAGGCTCAGCCACTGTGAATTCAAATAGCAAAGCAAGAGCCAGTAGGGGTTCTGCAACTGATCCCCAAAGCCTTTATGCAAGGGTACATACCTTTAAATCTTTACCAGACTTGAATAAGTTCATATGCATTTTCAAGGGCTCAAAGCGTTTGTCTAATATGATTTCATCGAATTTTGCAGAGAAGAAGAGAAAGGATAAATGAGAGATTGAGAATCTTGCAGAATCTTGTCCCAAATGGAACAAAGGTAAAACATTAACTCGTGCTAACCATCTCTACCAAATGCTGGGATTAAGGAATATTTTAGAATTCCACAAAACTAAGTTTAAATGTTCACTGAATTATCAGGTTGACATTAGCACAATGCTCGAAGAGGCTGTCCATTATGTCAAGTTTTTACAGCTTCAAATTAAGGTATGGGAAAAAAATGTGCCACTAATTATCTTTCTTTATGTTAGGTATACAATAGTTGACATAAAATTGAAAGATTTTACCTCTTTTTCTTAAATATTATTGTCCATTATCTACTGAAGGAAATTAATAATTTTTTGTTGGATATTGGTTAAATAAATTGAGAATTGAAAATCGATTAAAGTTCGTATCGAATTCGGCCAAATACTCAAAA